ACTGCTTTCAAAACTTTTGATCTGAGCAGTAAATATAGAGTTCAATCATACAAACAGGAAATACTAATCTAACATGAGTCTTTTATGAGCTATGATCAGGGATTGACATAACTGCTATGCAAGTAGTCATTTGTGGTATAAAGATTCAAATTTATGGTAATTTCTTGTGCAAATTTGCATTGTTATGACAAGACATTACCATGGATTTTAACCTTTACATTGTGAATGTGTACTTGGACACTAGTTATGTCATTAGCTATGACTCATTGGCTATTACCAGTAATTAAATGACCTGCTCATAGCATATGACATGGAATTTTATGGTGAATACTAGTGTTCAATGATTTTCAGGTGTGTTGAGTATAGGAAAACATCTCAGCACATTTAGCGCTGTGAAACCTGCAATAGCTGAACATGAAAATGATCGATTTAAAAGACACCCAGCTTCTGGACATTAATGGCGATAGCAAACTACCAATAAATAATCAGGGTGGTAGATTCCATGTGTCCATCCATCCATCCATTTCGGGTAATCACTTCATTCATCTTATGATCCAGAAGAATATGAGTAAAGATATAATTTGTAAACAGGCATAGATTCTACATAAATCAGTTTTGAAGTTCAGTTTTGGTTTCTTTGGACATTATTCATAGAGGTATTGGTTTTGGGGAGGTGTGTGGCTCAGTAGATTAGGGTGCTGGGCCTGTGATCAGAAGGTCACTGGTTCAGATCCCAGCATCAGCAGAGTGATTTCAGTGTTGGTCTCTTGAGCGAGGCCCTTAACCCCCAGATGCTCCCCACTGCATCCTTTTGGATAAAGGTGTCTGTTAAATAGATTAAATGTAAATTTACTGTGTCTCCCTTCATGTTTTCCTAACTGATTCACTAAAATTACTTGCTGCATACCAAAGACATATAGACTGTCCCTGACTTACAATGACTCAGACATATGGCCGAAGTTTTTTTTTTTTTTTAATTAAGCAAACGTATGCAAAAATACATTTCAGGCAGCCGTAAGCCTGACAGCACTATGGTACCTAGTACAAGCTGTGAGCCATCTCGCACCATTCTCACACCTAATATCAGTGTGATTATCCTGCTCCGACACGTGGCTGTGAGACCAGAACCCGGTCCTGAGTCGGGGACAGTCTGTACAGAAATTCTTTCATTTATTTATTTGTGTATTTATTTATTTGGATTCTTTTTGCAATGACATCAAAATCATAATAACAGATTCCATTTTCAAGTTCATTTTCATGCAAATGAAATCCAGACTTGTCTAAAAAAACTGGAAAGATATAGGCTGAAGTCTAAGCTTATTATGCCTACCCTGTATTTTCAAGTTAAAAAACCAAAATTACAGTTTGATCCTGTCCTGGATTACAATAGTATCAGTTATTCACCTTCTGTTGCCTGCAGCAGTCTTCTGCTTATTGTAAATGTACTGTAATGCTGGCTGCCTGATCTGTCTAACTGTGAAGCTCACAGTCTTCCACTTTGCACTCCTCTTTACAATAAGACATTGCTGTGCCGGACACGAGGCTCGTGACCTTGATGAGATTCTTCTAAATGAACTTGCCTGTCTTGCTGCTCTTCTATTATCAGTGAGGAAATACAAGCATTTCTGAAAAATTAAATGTAGGCGCCGTGTCGCTCTGCAAGTTAGGAAATTCTGTGATTGAAAGGTCACTGGTTCAAATCCCCGGGCCGGTGGACTGATTTCATCATCGGGCCCCTGAGTGGGGCTCCAGGGACTGTCTGACCCTGCTTTGTCAAAAAAAAGCTTTTAGAAATGCGTGTCACTTTGAATAAAAGCATCTGCTAAGTAAATAAAATATCAGACAGCAATGGGTTACATCTAGCAGTGCCCTTTAAAAATGGCCTGCACCTTTGTGGGGAAGCTGTGACGTGATGTCACTGTACTGTGGTACTGAAGTGTTGCAGTTTCATTTCGTTTTGTGCTCTGTAAGCTCCCAGACATCTTGATTACTTTATTACTTATTCTGGGGTCATGCAGCTCTGCAAGTAACCGGCATGCAGATGGATTCTTCGGTGCCCAAATGAGTAAAGGTGTATAGATGCAATACTTGATCATTTCTGGGTTTCCGCTCATGTTTCCAGGGTGGTTACATGATTTACAAAGTATTCTCTTTTTTTTAATTCCAGTTTATTGGTGCAGTTTTTGTATTCTTTAAGAGCATGTTATTCTAAATATTTAAGTTTTCAGCAGCTTTGTGCTGGCCTTCCCATGCTTTGAAATGAAAACAACTTTTATAGAAAGGTAATTGTGCAACATTGTATCTAAAATATGTTATAACAAGGTTCCAATTCTGTTTGTCCCAGATTAAGTCAAAAGATTTATGTTTAAATATAAAGTAAATATAACGGTATAAGTGCTTATCGCTTTAAATACTTGTAATCAATCTTTTTTACAAAAATTCATTTACTTTATTTAAACCACATTTATTCTAAAACCCTTTGCTCTCTAATGCCTAACATACTCTTTTCCTGATGCAGTGTTTTGTCTTTTGTATGACAGTGCTTCTGTAACTAAGAAGAAGGCTACTTTCGTTTTCATTCATTAATATTTGAAGATAATGGTTGCTTTCCCTAAAATAATTAGGCATTCCACCTGTCTTGTCCACATTTATCAGTAAATGGTTTTACGTAAAATATAATGAGCAATGCAAAAGTATAAAAGGTTATACCGAACAGATGATGTAAAACAGTTAAAAAAAAAAAAACCCAACAATCAGAAAGATCATCCATTAAATGAAAACATGCTTTTTTTGTGTAGAATAAGCACCCACTTAATGTTAGGCCACTCCATAATGCTTAGGAGAGCTTTCACTTAGTCTCGGCCAGATTTCAACACCAATCGATTGGCTGCTGGCCGCATTACAATAAAAGTAAGCAGAGCTAAAAGGATTCTTAAGAGGAATTGAAAGTAGTGATTCTTGCCATAAAAACTGCCAAAACTTGTTTGTTGTTTTACAGAAAGCAGGTTTCTAACGTTCTCTTTATATATAAGGCAAAAGCTAGGCTGAACTGTATTTTCAGACTGAAATAATAATAATAAAAAAAACGCTTATAAAATTGCTTGACAGTTTCCGTTACTTTAAAATCTGTAAAATATTTTATCAATTTAAGCCTGATATTCATCATTTTGCATTGCTTTGTACATTTTCAAGCTCAGCCATGACCATATTTGATTTTTAAATTTTTTTTCTGGTTGTTTTTTTTTTTCCTGCATGCACTATGTTCACCGGAATATTTGACAGTTATTTTTTTAAACATTATGCTCAGCTTAACCGTCAAATGCTCACATAAAGAGTATGTACATATTACAGTTTAAAAACCTGATGCTGTCAGTTGAGGCTAATTGTCCTGATTGATTGCTGGAACCCTGCTGACGTTGTGATCTGTGTTTCCCGTACCCGTCCCTGTACCCCGCATAGATTCTCCCATGGGATTTTGTGGTGTGACGTCCTGTGAGTGGAGATGTTCAAAGAGAAGCCTCCTCCAGGTCAGTTTAAACCGTCCCTCATGGCCGAGTAACATGAAAGTCACATTATATTTCCAAATGACCTCATCATTATCATTAACATTATACGGCGATTTTGACTGACCATATGGGACATTGTTCCTCCCTATTTGTTAAGTACGTGGATACGGCTCCGTTCCTATTAAATTAATCCCAGATTATGGTTGTGGTGGATTACCGATCACCTATAACAAGAGTCACGAAAAAAATGCATTTTTCAGTTATATACCTTCCTATTATTTCTTCGCATTGTCTCAGTTCATATCACACGAGTGGCATTTTCCATTATTGGACTGCAGTGGATTATTTTAGGTATATTAAATTAAACGTTGTTTTTTTCTTACGGTCGAAAAGAGCACATTTCCGTCAGATGTAAATTACGTGGACTCCGTGCTGTGCACAGGCGAGTAAGAACAGGAGGCGTTTACCCCCCAATATTTAATGTGACTTCACCCCCCCCCCCCCAATAAACCGACCATGGCAGTTATTAACGCACCCCCATGTTAAACTCTCTCCTACGCCCTTGGTTGTACAACAGTAATTTTGAACCAGCCTAACCTTCGATAAACACTAACTTTTATTACTTGACCATGTATTAGGGTGTATATATAAGTACTGGGGAAGTTCAAAATTTTCAGTTGATCCACGTGCGTTAACGCGTAAATAGATCCGCGCGCAGGAGTACTTGTCTGGCATCCTGTCCTTAACCGCGCGACACCGTCTCCCCCGCACGTGCGCGGACACCTGCTTGGCCCAGGCCGTTTCCGCAGTGTCCGCCCGCCCAGCAGCGTCTCTTCCAAGTCGTCTAACTGCGCGGTAACTGGTGCCACTCTGGCTCAAAGTGACTCAAGGCAACCGCACCTCCCAGTCGGGCGAAGAAACAAAATGGCAAGGGTTCTCTCTTCCAGTGACCTGCTTCTCTCCCACACCATTGCAGAGGCAGTTGCCCTGACAACGTAGCCGGCTGACTCCTATTGGTTACATCCTCGGCAAATCGAGAGCCGCCTAGATTATGTAATGGATGAAACGGCATCGGATTTGCCTGGTGTGTGTTTTTGTGAGAAGCATGTGTGCGGTGTTAGTACTCGGGAATAGTCGTCTAGCTTGGAGAGCCACCGTCGGTGCGTCAGTCTCCTAAGAAAGATGTTTGGTCTCTATGGTGGTGTCACCTTCCTGTCGAATGTCATTTAGCAGTATTAGGGCAATGAGAAAATATTTTACTCCAAGTTTAAACGAAAAAACGACTATTTGTGCAACAGATCAATAATTATTTATTGAACCTCGGAGGATTTTTCTTGCTGTTTATTTTTGTTTGATTTAAGGTATCATTAATTCTGCCTCTTCAGATCTGTTTTAATCATGTAATGGTGTAGTTGTGTTACCGGTGTTTGGATTTGGGGGGGGGGGGCGGGGGTCCGGGTGTATTTGTATTTAGATAAACTATTCAGAACCGGGGATTATTTTTTTTTTCGGATGATGACGGCAACAGTAGAACAAACAAATAAAGAAAATGCTTTTGACCTACACCGGAGACAGGCAGGCTACAGCAGACTAAATGACCTCGACAGTCCTGCGACAAAACCGAACGAGTGAGGAGAGATGATGGTAGTGAGTGTTCCTTCGCTGCTATACGATGATGCTGATTGCTGGTTTGCGCTCCGAACGGCGTCGCTGCGCGGGTCTTCCTCAGGCTTTCGAGCCGCGTTGATTAAAACTTGAAGAAAATCGAGAATAGTGACCCAATATGACTATCCCGAAAGACATTCCCGAGAAGTGGTTCCCTCTCCTTCTTCCACTCAAAAGGAAGAAACAAGTGAGACTCAGTGCAGCTAAAGGGACAAGAAGCGGGACAGGTACTAATTAAATTATTTACGTTATTGTTTGTGTTTCATTTCGTGGATGTATATATACATCTGTTTCTATATTTTTAAAAGATTTCTCCATTTCATTAGTACCAGTCTTGTAACCTTTTGACAGGCAGGAATAATTCATGAAGGTCAAATCTTTTCTGAAAATGTCCATGATCAAAAAGACCCTTTTTACCGTTTGTAGTCTTGGTATTTTCTTTTAGTCAGTGTATTTAATGAAGACCTATTAAAGTTTTATGACATTAACAAAGAATTTCCTCCCATATTTCATTAATAAAAACATATCTCACCATTTGTTGACCTCTTTCACTCTGTTTGTTCTCCTTTCTGTGCCCAAAGTTTATGATGTCATCTGTACTCATCACCTTCACCTCATTACCTCACCTTCCCCATCCCCGGTCGCATGTACCCACACCACAAACCCAGGGTTCATGTCTAAAGCCAGTCCACTTGAACAGGTCACCTCACATCATCTGTCTCACTCAGTTAATTCCCTCTGCAATCTTCGAAAACTAGTATGATCATTGGCAGCTCAGTGACAATGTGCCTTAACCCACAACAATATTCCGACTGCATCAGAAAGTGTTTCAGCAGTAATTTTTATAGTTTTTTTCCTATTGTTATTATTGCTTGTGATCAATTTTTGTGCATTTACAAAACCAGTTGGCTTACATTGTCAACAGTCAGGATGGTACTGCATCTGAATTCTACAGATACCAGTTGCCTACGGGGAAAAGCCTAACCAAGTCCGTGGATTTGGCAGTTCTGTCATACATTACAGCTGGACGTTTCACAGCGCAGCTGCCCAAGGTGCTGAGTTGGCAACGCGAGCTTTTGACTTTGTTACGGGTTTCCAGGGTGTGTCGCCTTATTCAGCAGGTGAATCTAAAAAATTAAGTGAAATGATGTTTCATGCTTCCAAGTCATGCCACTTCGGCTTTTAGGCCGGACCTGAAATGCACCTAAAATGCTTGTTTTTATTCTTATCTTACCCTATTTATGTAAGGTAGCAAAATTTAATATTGAATCTTCTTGTAACCAAACACACCTATTACAAGATAGGAACAGGATTCAGGTTGGACTGGTATTCAATCCACTACCACCTGGAAAAAGTTGTAGAATACATAATTCGAGTGTTAAACGTGTTATTCAGATTGCCGTCCTGTACCTCTTCCTTCACCCGTTAGTTCTACTGCCTGTCATCAGTGAGATATTTTCGACTAGAAAATTTACAGTTGACAGGCTGGCAAAGTACTCTTAGCGACCCTGTTCTTGTCCTATAAGAACCTGAGATAAGCGCACAGTGGCATAATTATTTTTTTTTATCTTTTAGCATTTTACTTCGATTCAGGTGTCCTTGCTGGGTGTGCAGGGGTCCCGATCCTGGAGAAATGCGTTACAGTGTCGAGAAGATAATGGTTTCCTTCTAAATGGAAAAAGCGGAGTCGTAGCCCCTTGACATAATTTGTGAATGACGCTGCATATATATATATATATATATATACTGTATATATATGCAGCACATATATACATTTTTTGGTGGAATTTACCACTTTTTTTAACAACAGCCCGCATAGATTAGAGGTAATTTCCAGAGTCTTTGACCATTATCATGCACTAAACACAAATACTGGATGGCTAGCAATTGAGTAAAATAGTGTTCTGTATGTTAATATCAAAATATGCAGTGAAAAATGTGTCTTTTTGCAGCATTTGCTGTTGTCATTTTGGAAATTTGCAGAGACACTAGTGTGCCATCGATTTTCATCAGTTATGACTGTTGACAGTGAGGTTAGAACTTGAAAAGGAGGGACTGACCTTTATACATTTGCCGTTATCGTACCTGCCACGTCTGAGGGCCAGAGCTGAAGATGGCTCACATCTGTGATCAAGGCAGGAAACCGCAGCAAGTTGTTTGGGGTCTGTTTTCGATTCTCTGTGTAAACTGGGGGGGGGGGGCTGGCGAAATGGGTCATCTGTTTGTCGTCGCTTTCGCAGTGAGATGTCACACTCCTGGGTGGTAGCCACTCCTTCCAGTGAAGTGCAGCTCTTTATGTTCCTTGTGGCCCATGGGAGTTCCTGTCCACGGTTATCGTGACCTTCTTTACAGTTAGCAGGGCATTCTGGGTACTGGAATGAGTCTTGTGAATTGCACCGTCTGTTAGGAGGTCAGCCGGCGTTATTTAATGAAAATAGGACGTGCGCTGCTTGGTTTTTGTTCTTTCTCTCCACCATGTGTCTCCTCGTCTCGTTCTCAGTCTCTGGGACTTTTTCGTCCGCCCATCTTCCCGCCGCTTACCCAGTACAGGGATGCCAGTCCAGTGCAGTGCACACTCACAACTGAGGTGAATTATAATCAGTCTAACTGCAGGAGTACGTAGAAGAAGTAGATTCAACCCCCCAGCCAGTGTAGCAGCTGTGTTACCTACTGAGTCACCATGTCAGCCTCTGGATATTTTTATGACTTCATCGATGTGACTGTATCATTGGCATAACATACTGTAGTAGCTCTGCGGTTACTGATTCTGCGTTGTGTAGTTACAGTTTACACAGGGGCAGTTCATATACTGTGTGTACAGCTGTCCTCCTCTTCATCCTTCTGAGCATTTTGTGTGTGTCTATTTCTGTGCGCTGGTGTGTCTGTGTGTTCCTTTCACGCATGAACTTCTGACAGGCTTTTCATTTTTAAAGAAATTCTCATCAATGTTGCATGAGACGGGGAGGGAATATGAGTCTGACAAACACGACAACATCAGCAGAAAGGCTTTCAAAACACGGGAGAGGGAGGGGGGGGATGGATCTCTGTCACAGGCAGCACGGTTCTGCAGAACCAGCTTAAAAAATAAACGAACTTACAGTCCCAGTCCATTTAGTATAAAATATTTTTTTCTGTTGTGGTTATGTCTTGTACAACATGTGGCCGTGGCATGAGTCTTCCATTGGCTGGGTCCAGCTAGCACGCGTGCAAGGAGCCCTGGGTGCAGCTGGGCATCATCTACAGGGTACCGTTCGGACCTCAGATGGTCCTCATCCTCAGTGCATCCCTGACACAGGCAGCAGAGACGCCGCTGCCTGCCAGGGAATGCTAAGCACGCACAGGCTTACGTAGCTCACCGCCAGCCCCGCGGTTAGAGCATGAAGGGGGAGGAGTAATTAGTTCCGTTAGCAGGCCTCTGCAGCACGGCGCACTCCCATGCGTGACGGAGGCGTCCGCGTGGGGACAGAATTACCCGCAGACCTCTCGGCAGATTTGTAAGGGAGCCCCTGATTGGCGGAGAGGACAACAGGGATGTGGCAAGGTGATCCAATCCCTCAAGCCTGCTTTATGATTGGTGCAGGGCATCCTGGCTGCGCCCACGTGGTGCGGTGAACACGAGCCTGTAATGTCCTTCTCCATGGAGCGTCTTCTGCAGATTTGAAATTGACCTCCAGTAAATGAGCGACAGGAGAAGCCATTAACTGGCCCATACTGACACTAAACATTATTCCTGAAAGAAGCTTTCTTTGTGAAAATGTACACTGTACATGTTGCTTTTTCGGTAAGAATGGCGAAATAGAGGATTCTGAGTAAGATAGAGCCTTCTGAGTGATGGGAGGGTACCAATGCCAAACACTAGATGATAATCCCCTGTTGATTTTCTTTCTCACTACTTAGTCCATTCTCCGTTTAGCCAAATAGGAAACAATTAAAGATTGCAGATAATTGTTTAAGTTCAGATGGCAAGTTGAGTGTCAGCTCCAGTGGGCCATCGATTTCAGCATAAATTCACCCCCCGGGGGGCCCAAGGGCTCCGTCCCTGCAAACCTGCTTTTAAAGAGCAGCGCACATCCTAGGATGATCGGGTCAGTGTTTTATTTCTCTATCTCTCCAGAGGAGGAGAGGAAGGTGAGGGCCAACGACAGGGAGTACAACGAAAAGTTCCAGTACGCGGTAAGACTTTCACCTCACTGCAAGGTGGAACGAAATTCTTTCATGTTTTTAATTGTTATGTTTAGGGTCCTTAAATGTTTGAATGTCTTTTACTGTTTTTTTTTTCCTTACTGTCCTTCATTTTCAGAATAACTGCATCATGACCTCCAAGTACAACATAATCACCTTCCTCCCAGTCAATCTCTTCGAGCAGTTCCAGGAAGTGGCCAACACATACTTCCTTTTCCTGCTGATACTGCAGGTAAAGATCAGATCAGGTAGTGTGGGATAGCCCTGCAGCTGCAGGAAGCGACAGGCGGGCATATGGGGCAGCGGTTGCATAAACTGCATGAGGCGGTGATGCCTTTGGTTCAGGCCTAATTCAGGCTTCGGGATCAGGCTCACTGGGAAAGACAGGGGGCGCTCTCCACACCAAAAACTTGTAGTAAAAGGCAGCATTATGTAATCTAGGCCTGGGGCCACAGGGGGAGGGGGGAAGGTAAGGGTTGCTGCTGTGGGCGTCCGCTACCTGAGGGGCCTATCGGCTTTCAACACAGAGAAGGACACGGATAAGGGGATGAAAGGCAGATGGAGAGCAGGAGGACAGCGGCAGCAGCCCTGCGCCCCCCCCACCCCAATGCAGCATGTTTTTTTTTTAATAAAAGCCTTTGACTCGCTCACTGCGTCCCAGGGCCCGATGCAGTGAAGTGGTTCCGCCTCATTCACTGCATGATCGTCTACCCAGTGCAGAGTAACGGTTCTATTTTAAAACCCACTCGCTTCCTCTTGGATTCCAGCCGGATCCATCTCTCTCGGAAAACACGGTTTGGCCCTTAAGGAAAATGCCAGGCTTTGACGAATGCTCCGCGCTGGGGTGCTTAAGTCATCGTTTCATCTCAAGCTGAAGCATACGGGGTCAGGTTCAGTGCTTTTCAATACTGTCACAGCTTCAGGAAGCATGAAGTGCTTAAAATTTAATCACCCCCTCCTATATTTGTAGGTATAGCGAGATCTAAGACTTTGACAGGTTATTATACCTCAGAACACTTCTGTACTGTGTCTTACTGTGAAAGAATTCTTGGAAATTTTTAAGAGTTTCATTTCTGGACTTACTGTCAACATCTAGCAGAGGCGGGCCTGTAGATACCTTCCTGTAAATTAGTTTCACTTTACTCAAAGCTGTGTGGCCAAAAGCAGGTTTTGCTCCGGAGAATAACGGATTGTTACTTTCTGCATGCTGACAGCAGCTAATGGCTGTTTGGTTCGGTGTTTCCTTCGCATTCTTCAAAATGAATAACGTTGCTTGGCGTGTAGAGAGAACGATGCAGTCAATAAGTCATCTATCGTTCTCATTTTCTATGTTGAGGTTTTTCTCACTAAAACACCTTATTCACAGCGCTGTCATTGCTGTTGTTTTGTAAAAGCTGCTCTTGTTTTACGAGGCCTAGACGCGTTGCGCCGCCTGGGGCTGGTATGAGGCTCCGTGAGTTAGGATGTCTTGTCTGTAGTTGGAGGGACATAGGTTCAAATCCTGGGTTTTTACCATTGTACACCTGAATAAGGTCCTTAATGCCACTTGCTCCAGGGACTGTCTAACCTTTGTTTCTTACCCATCAAATGTTTGGGCACACCTGCTTTTAATACGTCTGTCTCCATTTTAGCTATGTTACTCACCGTATAGTAAAAGGCCTCGAAGAAATGAAGTAATACTTATCAAATACTGCAAAAACCAAGAAAAGTCTTATAAATCTCAAACTTTTCTCAAAATTTAGACTCTTTAAAATGGCCCTCTGCTTTGATGACAGTATTACAGACCCCCTGAATTCTTTCAACCAGCTTCCAGATGTAGCCACCTGGAAAGCTTCTCCAACAGGCCTGAAGGAGTTTCCACAAGTTCTGGGCATAAGTTGATCTTTGATCCTGCTCATCCCAAACCAGCTCTGGAGGATTTAGGTCGGTGGATTGTGGGGGCAAGGTCATCTGTCGCAGAACTCCATCTCTTAATACTTACTACATAACCTCGAGGTGTGCTTAGGATAATTATCTTGTTAAAACACAAATGATTTTTAGTGGGTGTGTCCAAACTTTTGATTGGCACTGTATGTGTCTGCTAAATAAATATGAATGACGTGCTTCTCTCTCCTTTAGTTGATCCCTCAGATCTCCTCCCTGTCCTGGTTCACCACCATTGTGCCTTTAGTGTTGGTGTTGAGCATCACTGCAGTGAAGGACGCAACTGACGATTATGTGAGTTGCCGTTTGCCCCGCCCACATCCAGTGACCCCCTGCCCCCCCCCCCGTGTGACACTCAGGTCGTTACTATGCTCTGCTAGTGGAGTTTGCATGCTCTCCACACATCACACGCGGCTCTTATGGGTTCCAGGATCCTGCCACAGTCTGAAGACATGCAGTTGGGTGCCTTGGCATCTCTAAAGCGTCTCAGCCAATGATACTGAGTGTGAGCATGTGTGTGACGGACTGGCATCCCATCCAGGGTGTAACCAGCCTTATGCCCTATGCTGTCTGGGATGGGTTTCAGGCCCTCACCAATAACCCTGGGTTGGATGGATGGATGGAGGGATGGATGGATGGATGAAAAGATACACACTGCATGTCTCATGTTACATCTGCAGCTGCCTGCTTTTCCAGTTTCTCTGGTCCAAAGTCTGCCAGACTTGCTCTAGTTCATATAAACAGAAATGTCACCACACATGTGACCCTCATTAAGTTAAGATGGCAGCCTCCGGGGCATTTCTGTCCTGACACAGCATGGGCTGTTACTTCAGAGCGTGAGTTCTGACTGATGTGTTTGTGGCCGTTTGGGAAGGAGCTCTGCTCAGTGCTGCGTGTCTCTGCTTCCTCCGCAGTTTCGTCACAAGAGTGACAACCAGGTGAACAATCGCCAGTCTCAGGTCCTCATCAACGGCACGTGAGTGATCACGCTGCGATTAGCGTGGCTCGCCGAGCCACGTGTGTCCATGAGTCCCGTGTGGTGAGCACCCTCCTGACTCACTCTCTCTCACCCCAGCCTTCAGAACGAAAAGTGGATGAACGTGAGAGTGGGTGACATCATCAGGCTGGAAAACAACCAGTTTGTGGCAGTAAGTCAGAGAGCAGTGCAGTACATAGACACACCAATACACACATGCATGAACACTAGGCATGTAACGATGAATCGCGAATCGGTTAAAAATCGATGTAAATGTACGACGATTTAAACCGGCTGATGTGGAAAATGAATCACTATTTTAGTAGTACTTCATGATACATTACTTAACAGAAAAACTGGTGTAATATTACATTTGATTTCACAACATTCACGTCAACGTCCTACGTTAGTTTTTGGTTTTGACCGAACACGAGATGGCTGTCGAATTTCAAATCACACACACCCCCCCCCACCCATCTTAAATCGGTGGTGTGGCAGCATTTTAGCTTTCCGGTAATCACAAACGAAAACGGCAACAAAAGCACAGGCAAGACAAAAACTGCATGCAAACATTGTAAAAGACTGATGACATACACAAATAGCACAGCGAACATGCTTCAGCATGTCCACCACAATGAGCTCAATTCACCACCGCCAGAGCAAAGATTATTAAAAGGGCAAACCACGGTAAAAAGCTGCACATGCAAGCCTTAGTTTATTTGGTAACGCTTTGTATTCAGTGCACCTTCATAATGCATTCATTATGTATTTATAGAACATTCAGTGGACCTTCATAATGCATTCATAGAATATTCATAAGCAGCATGCAAGTACACTTTAACATCCTAACATCCCTTAACAGCTTTAATATACATTAATAACAAACATTACATGATTATACAATTATAATGTTTGTTATTATTATATAATGTTTGTTATTAATGTATATAACAGCTGTTAAGGGATGTTAGGATGTGTGTAGTGTGTAGAAGGTGTACTGAACATTTTATGAATGCAATATAAAAGCATTATGAAGGTGCAGTTAATGTAAAGCGTTACCGTTTATTTACAGTATTTGAAGATTTTTTTTTTTTCATTTTGATTTGGGATTTTTTTTTTTTAACCGTATTTTATTCAATTTCAGTTGCACTGTTAAGAAGAGGACACGTCTTGCACACTTTAGAAACATAAATAAAGGAATATTTTTGAATAAATTTGCAGCTCATTCTGTTAAAAAATCGTGAGGAAATGGTATCGTGAACTCAGAATCGTGAATCGTATCAAATCGTGAGTTGAGTGTATCACTACATCCCCAATGCACACACACAGAAACCAACACACTCACACTTGATATTGCCTAGCTGTGCATAACCACAGTTCCTGCCGTGAACCTACATTAAGTTATGGATTTAACACTGATACCTTCTCAGAGTGACCCCTGAGTCTGACCTTACTGTGTGTCCCGCAGGCTGACCTGCTCCTGCTCTCCAGCAGCGAACCCCATGGATTATGTTACATCGAGACTGCAGAGCTGGACGGGTAAGGATGCAGAGCCCGGTGGGACACTGCCAGAGGTGGGTAATTCAGGTCCAGAGAGTAAAAGTCCAGACCAATATTTTGTTTCAACCAACCAATTGAGTATAAAGGGTCACAGTCACAGAGAACTCAACTGATTGGTTGAAACAAAATCTTGGTCTGGAGTTTTACTCTCTGGACCTGAATTACCCACCTCTGGAGACTCCTCTTTTGGCTCTTTACCACTAAGATTGTAAGTACTGTACAGCAGTAACAGTTTAATGTCAGCCTTTGAGGTTGTTCTTATTGCCGATAAATTAAGCGGGACAGTCATATTGAGGAAATTCAAAATACAGTGTAATGAACTGAATTATATTCAGTCTTGCTTGCGGTCTCCCTCTGGACCCGCGCTTTCTATTGACACACGTTACCCTCCAAACCAGGACCGATTGAAGCAGGATGCGTGCAGCCACCTCAGCATGAAGTGAAGCAGTGCCATCAACCATTTAATTACCTCTGTGCTTGTGTTAGTGAGAACTGATCATGAAGCATAACTAGGAATACTGGTCAGACTCAGAGGCGCATTAACGTGTTGGAATCCCCCAGGCGTTTTGAAGTCAGAGAGCCCACTGCTATTTTAGCGATGGTGTGGTTGTCAACTGGGAGGGTAACAATAAACATTGTTGGCCAGAGGGCTCTGCAACGATACACAAAATGCAGGACATATCGCGTCTCATATTGGTTCAAAATAGGAAACTGCACTTTAATTTTCAGTGCAAGAGGATCCCATCTAATATGGACTTCGTTGCAACACTAGGTTTAAAAACTTATTAAAAAAGGTTAGTTGAGGCCTCTGCCGGGGGAACCCCTTGCATTAAAACTCCCTTTTCTCAGCTACTTTCCATGGAGAGGAATGCCGTGAGATTCGAAGTGCTTTGACGTGGGCCTGATTGCATTTGCGTCTCATAACGGGTTTTTTGTTGCTGCTGTTCCAGCGAGACCAACATGAAGGTGCGTCAGTCACTTCCTGTCACCTCCGAGCTTGGGGATCCCAACAGCCTGGCCCAGTTTGACGGTACGGACTCTCAGTTCAGATGTTGCGTTTGACGTCCACTGTCGTGTTTGAACTGTAAACAAAATCATTTTTATCTCAGCTTGATTCCGAATATTTCAGCTTTTTCGTGGATGACTCTGTGTGTCACTCTGGCTCTGTCTGGCCGTGTTTCCCGACTGCACAGGTGTGGATGTTTTGTGCCTGTGATACCACTAGAGGGCCAGGCAGGGTGTGTGTGTGTGTGTGTGTGTGTGTGTGTGTGTGGTGGGAGATGTCATACTTGCAAAGAAACCCAAACCACACAGCTGTACAGAAGAGTCCTGACAGCCTGTCACCAAGTATGGAAAGTACAGAATTATGGAAGGTCTCCCTGTGAGATGGTCGTGTGAAGCTCAGTGCAGGAGCTCCACTCATCCATCTTCATGCTGTAGGGAAGAAGTAAAACCCACAGCGGCACTGCTGTCATGCTCTATAGACCCCTGTAGCCTCAGTGACGCCAGTGTCCCGTCCCAGGGGAGCCAGATCTTACGCATCTGGCATGACACTCACACTTTCAAATTCTCACGCAAGAAATCTCACGGCAAATCTATATTATTCCATTATAAACCTAAAATTAGCTACATCAAAAGTGTTGTGGTAGTTTGCAAAGGTAATAAAATTGTTACATAAGTGTAAATGCAGACTTGTCTCAAATTGACAATCTCATGACAGGCAGCTGACCGAAGTTGGTGACACTGCCATCCTTCCGACGGCCCCTAGTGGCAGGACATGAAACACGGAAACGTGTCGTGTTTGTGAGCTGCTCAGTAATGGCTCTGCGCCGGCAGACGTGTCCATTTTCTGGCCCCTCTCTACCACCCCAGCCTCTCTCCGTTTCTGTTCGTCTCGGTCGAGTACAAAGCCTCAGGGCGTTTTCCTGCTTTTCTTCTCTGAAGTCCTTCAGCTTATGTGTGCGTTTTCTATGGTCGCACACAAAGAGCGCAGAGAGGCTGAAACATCTGGCAAACGAAAGAGACACAGAAAGGCTGTCAGGGACTCGACACACTGCTGCTCGCCGCCCTTTATGTCAGCTGACACATGATGAGGGATTAATGTATAAACCGCTAAGTGCTGCTATATTTGCTAGGGACCCTGTTTGTAACACACCTTCAGTTTTCATTGGAATAATTCAGCATCTCCTTGCTTCTCTCTGATTGATCACATTAGCCCTGAACTTTATGCCTCTGCTTCTGTATTAGGTAGTGATGGCCAAATGAAGCTTCATGAACCATTTGCTGTATTTTGTGACACCACTAGATGGTGCTCTTTATTCAGAAAAGGACTCAATGCATGCCCCAAGGCAAACCAAGAGCGCCATCTGCTGAGCTAAAAAAATGCAGAAAATGAAGCTTCATTTGCTCATCACTAGTATTACTATTCCCATTGACCCGTTTTAAAACTGGTGTGATATTGGCAGGATTGCCAGTCAGAACCCTTGTGGCACCCTTGGCAAGCTTTTGGCAGCTTGCTAAGTCGGCACCCCCTCAGAAGATGGTGCCCTAGGCGTCCGCCTGTGTTGCTGATGAGCTGACCGGCCTTGAGGGCTCTGGGGGTAACAGGTCCTTCTCTCCGCGCAGGCGAGGTGATCTGCGAGCCGCCCAACAATAAGCTGGACCGCTTCTGCGGCACGCTGTACTGGAGGGAGAACAAGTACGGCCTGAGCAACCAGAACATGCTGCTGCGCGGCTGCGTGCTCCGCAACACCGAAAGCTGCTACGGCTTGGTCATCTTTGCAGGTCTGTGCATACGTCTGCACTTCCGTCCGTCTGTGAATGTGTCATTGTATTATCTATGTGTGTCGAGCATGTCTGCATATATTTGCATACAACGCTGTCTGCCTGTGTATGCGGCTGCACATGTCTGCTCATCTGTATGCGTGTCTGCATGTGTGTCTGTGCCTATCTGCACGTATCTGTATGTGTGTTTGTGCATATCTGTGCACATGTCCGCAAATTTGTCTGTGCATCTGCAGGTGTCTGTCTGTGCATGTCAGTATGTGTCTGTGTGTCTGCGCATGTCTGCAAATGGCTCTGCATATGTTTGCATATCTGCCTGTGCATGTGCCCCATATCTGTTTACAAATGTCTGCTTATATCTGTGTCTGTGTGTCGGCTTTTTTACCTGCTCCTGTGTGTGTCTATTTTTCTGTATGTCTTTCAGATCTAAACTTTTTTTTGTTTTTTGTTTATTGTTATTTGTTGTTCTTTGATCGTCTGGGCATAAAAGGGTCACACCTGCTAGTTTGAGTGTATTTTTATTTCATACGTTTTATTTGTAACTTTATCCAGTCCATTCTGCAGTGTTTTCCTCTTAGGTTTCTGCACTAGGAAACAGAAATCTGCCAGTGTCTCAGGGTGGTTGAAATCCTCGTTGACTCCTCCCTGTTTCTATACAGCGAATCAGTATCTGACAGGGAGCTGGGAAGGAGCAAAAATGTGGAGTATCTGACAGGGAGCTAGGAAGGAGCAAAAATGTGGAGTATCTGACAGGGAGCTAGGAAGGAGCAAAAATGTGGAGTATCTGACAGGGAGCTAGGAAGGAGCAAAAATGTGGAGTATCTGGGGGTCCGTGAGGACCGGGTTGGGAAACACTGCCTTAACTGACCCAGCCTGGGTCTCCCCATCATACCGTGTCTGTTATCTTTCAGGTCCAGACACCAAACTGATGCAAAACAGCGGCCGCACCAAGTTTAAGAGGACCAGCATAGACAGGCTGATGAACACACTGGTGCTCTGGGTACGAGCGTCACTGAAGCTTCCCACACCATTTTGTGTGCTTTTCTTGCTTTCTGTACTCTCCCTCATGCCTGGGGTATATCTCATATCACACCCTATTTTTACACTCTTCCCTGCAAAGTCGCTGACTTACCGCAGCCCTTTAATCGCACACGGTGTGGGTGTTTCGCTCAGATCTTTGGTTTCCTGGTCTGCATGGGTGTGATCCTGGCCATCGGGAACGCCGTGTGGGAGAAGGAGGTGGGCTTCCTGTTCCAGAGCTACCTGCCCTGGGACCCCCCTGTGGACAACTTCCTCTTCTCCGCCTTCCTGGCCTTCTGGTCGTACGTCATCATCCTCAACACCGTGGTGCCCATCTCCCTCTACGTGAGGTAGGCTGGGCTTTGGGGGAACCGCACTGCTACCATACGGCTGAGGAGAGCCGGCCAGACTACACTGCCGCTCCCTGGGGGTGGCTGGGTCCACAAGGGCCAAGAAACATTACAGATTGTTTCCCTTACTTCACCATGGTAGTGGCAGTAGTACGACAGCCCAGCTGAAGAATTTCTGCTGGATGTTGGATGTTTAATGATGAATAGTGGTGGAGAAACACTCACTGACCAGATCCTTTTCTTTTTAATTTCCCTAAATAAATATTCAATTTCTTAAAATCAAATCCACCTCAGAGATTAGCTTGGCCTTTTTTTGCCCGTCGTTCATGTTTGTTTTGCTTTCAGTTCTTTGTTTGATGTTTATGTTTTTGTTTCGTTTGTACATGGTAATCCTCAGAGCTACCCCTGCAGGTAAGAAATGTAGTACCCCAAAAATAACAGCAGCTGCCCCCTCCAATAATCCACTATTCCCCATTCAGCCCTCCCTTCTTCGTGCCCTCCGTAGCGACCATGAAGCCGCACTCTCATCCATGAACCTCTCGCTCTCCTCTGACAACGAGCCATTAGTGGAGAGATGTGCCATTTCCGTACCTCTGTTTTCGAGCGACACACCGTCCTCCTGGAGCATGTGGCTCTGTTCCATAGTCCATGTGGTTGTCGTGACCTTGCCCCCCCCTCCCCCCCCCCTCACCGGGCAGCGTGGAGGTCATCCGGCTGGGCCACAGCTACTTCATCAACTGGGACCGTCGCATGTTCTGCCAGCGCCGCAACACGCCGGCGGAGGCGCGCACCACCACGCTCAACGAGGAGCTGGGCCAGGTGGAGTACATCTTCTCCGACAAGACCGGCACCCTCACGCAGAACATCATGACTTTCAACAAGTGCTCCATCAATGGCCATGCCTACGGTGAGTGGGAGATGTCAGCATGCTTGGGGGAGGGGGTGTTGGGCAAAGCCCTTCATGTTTTTTTTGTCCCTATTTGGGAGTTTTGGTTCCTCTCCTTCATTGTCATCTGGCTGTCATTCTTTCTTTCTCTCTTCCCTTTTTACCTGTTTCGTGTATCACTCTATATAAATGATGAAGTAATGTGCTACTGCGACCCCTGTCAAGCGCCTTGGAGCCACTGTTCTGAAAGGCGCTATATAAAAATTAATTACAATTGCATTGAGATGTGGAGTGAACCTTTTTAAAGAAGTGTCCTTTCTGTGCTTTTTGCGAGCGTTCGGTGCTGAAAGCCTCGTGTTAGCTGTGATGCGTGACGATGTGCTTTGACACACAGAGCGTGGCAGGGCCTTCTGTATTAGCAGACCCTGATTATGTATGTGTGATTCACAGGGGAGGTGATTGACACTCTGGGAGCGCAGCCCAAGGTAACAGCTGCTTCATTACTGCTCTTGTGTGTGTGTGTGTGCATCTATGCACTTGTGTGTGTGTGTGTGTGTGTGTGGATGTATGCGCTTGTGTGTGTGTGCACGCACATGTGTACGTGTGTGTGTGCACATGCATGTGTATGTGTGTGCATGTATGCGCTTGTGTGTGTTTGCATGTATGCGCTTGTGTGTGTCTGCGCGCATGTGTGCATGTATGTGTTTGTATGTGCATGTATGCACTTGTGTGTGCGTGCATGTATGCGCTTGTGTGTGTGCGCGCACACGTATATGTATATGTGCTTGTGTGTACGCACGTGCATGTATGCGCTTGTGTGTGTGTGTGTGTGTGCAGTACTAGCCATGTCCAAATCATACAGTAAAAGCTCTCATATCCAGCATTCAAGTAACCTGCACCCTGAAGTAACATAGTTGTAAAATATCTGTACAAAAATTTTAAGTCATAAAAATAAAGACTAGCACCATTCTTGATTGAATTCAAATTTTACACTAAACTAAAAAATAATAAAGAAAAGCATCACACGATGCATATGTCGGTCCCTTCACATGCCTATGGCTTTGTTTACCCTGCGATCTCTCATGTTCTATCGAATATCCGACTTCATTAGTGCATGTGTAAAGTAAGTGTAAGGAATATGTTAATGTAAGTGTACATTCAGAGTAACATCCAGCTATCCTGACACTGCCGGATATGAGAACTGTTACTCTGTTATAAATAGAGCTACAGAGGGATGATTGCATTAGTTTAGTTATAACCAATAGCCTCTCTATAGTTCCTTCTGGCCTTCGATGTTTATAGATATAGATGAGTGCCTTCTGTCTTGTGCCTTTGCCAGCGTCCTGCATTACACTGCTGACATTTGCACAAACTGCCGTATTTATCGCATTCTCGGCATTTGCTCCTCTCCGTTCTGTATCTTTGTCTTGTATTTATTCTCTGGCTGTGTTATGCCCTAATTGTTAGTTGTCTATTGTCATAGTGTCTCCAAGAGTAGCAAACTGTGCCAAACAAACATTTTATTGCTGCATGGCAACAAAGAATTATTATTTCTCTTTCTCCTCATTCTTTTCTCTTCCGACCCTTCCCCCCTCATCCCCCCCCACCCCGTTACATATGGGTCTCTGCCCCCCCCCTCCATCATGCCCCCCACCCCCCACCAGAGGGCCCAGCGGCTGGACTTCTCCTTCAACCCACTGGCCGACCGGGATTTCTGCTTTTACGACCAGAACCTGCTGGACTCTGTAAAGCTGGGCGAGCCGGCGGTGCATGAGTTCTTCCGCCTGCTGTCGCTGTGCCACACGGTCATGAGCGAGGAGAAAAGCGAAGGTGGGTGGGGTGGGGGGGATGGGTGAAGGCGCCCCTCTCGGGTTCTAGGGGAATCGTCAGCAGGATCTGCTGCCTCTGCAGTAGAGTCGTAAAGCTGAACAGGCAGCTGTCAGGGATTTTATGTGACCCATGAAAAACAAGGGCATGAGAAGAAGGGAGACGGCAGAGGGAGGAGTAACAGTGCGGGTGGGGAGGGCGCAGGAAGCTGAAGAAGCAGGTTCTGGCCAGAAATACTGAGGAGACGTTTCTGCATTTGGTTACACATCTGATGGCTTCACTCCATGCGGTTCTTTCTTCTGTTTTCTCTCCCCCTCTCTCTCTCTCTCTCTCTCTCTCTCTTTCTCCTGATCTCGCACCCACCAGGGGAGCTGATGTACAAGGCCCAGTCACCCGACGAGGGCGCCCTGGTCACGGCCGCCCGCAATTTCGGCTTCGTGTTCCGCTCCCGCACCCCGAGTACGGTGACCGTTCAGGAGCTGGGCCGCTCTGTCACCTACGCGCTGCTGGCCATCCTGGACTTCAACAACATCCGCAAGAGGATGTCCGTCATCGGTGGGCGTGCAGGACCGCCGCGTGACCTTGCTGTACCGTCATTCACGTGGTTCTGCATGTGGGCTGAGCAATTCAAGGCACTCAACTATAGGCACTTAGCTATAAAAGTGAGGTTCCTTGGGAAAATATGGTCTGTGAGAAGGAAAGATTTCAAAAGTGGAAGATGATGAGCAAAAAGAAAGATGACAGGAGAGCTAACGACATTAAAGTCAGATTTAAAATCCACCCTCTGGCGTAATAGACTAATAGCAGAAGTCTCACTGGGAGTTATGCGTGTCACCGTGGAACGGGCTGACGGTGTTGAACGTGCCCGAATGAGACGCGATGTGAAAGGTGAAATATGAGCAACGGGTCAGTGCTGACTCCGCAGTCAGGGTGAGAGGGCTGTCTGTACAAGCGCAAATAAATTGTCCCAAGGAAGCAGTGAGACCCAATGCTATAGGTATCAGTGTGACAAAGAAACGGGCCCAAGATGGCCGACCCACGCAATTATGGACACACATATATGCATATATATATACACACACACATGCATATATATATATATGTGGAAAATGATAACTGGCATCTGTGTCCTGTAAATACAGATGCTCCTCAACTTACCATGGGGTTACGTTCCGATGAACCCATCGTAAATTGAAAATATAGTAAGCCGAATATGAATATGATATGATAAATACGTAAGTGACCATACAATACGTTTTTTAACATAGTACGAGATGTATGTGTGTACGCGCGCAATGGTTACAGAGACTGGAACCGTGACTGCATAGAAGCTGCCATTTTCCGGCATGGGTAAAAAGTATTGTACGGCATATTGGTAGCCTGTGTGTGTGTGTGCTATCGCGACACCGTAAAGTCAAAATGTCCTAAGTCGAACCATCGTAGAGTGAGGAGCATCTTTACTATTGACCTTTATACTATACATCTATATTGTCTGTATCATAATATTTTTTTTTTATCTAATCATTTATTTAATATGTAGCATTGGTGGGAAAGCACGTTTTGTTGTACGTGTACAATTACAAAAAGATATTCTATTTCCTGGCTATTTAAAAACCATGATACGCTATGGTGTAAGAAAATATATCGTTTTACAGTTTTTATTGTTGAATAATCTGCCAATGCGGCATGCCATTTTCAGCTATGTAACACTATTTAGTTGGGAGTGCGTGAATGTATTAGCATGCTGAGAATTTCCTGGAAGATGCAGCCTTTAGCGTTGGGTGTGTGAGCCGTGATTTAAGCACGCCCGACCGGCTCGCTGCTTCATTGGGGGTGACTTCAGCCCTTTTGTTTTTGATACTGGGGAGATCGAGTTGCTCAGAGGTGATTCCGGGTCAGTGCCGCGGGGCTGGCAGCCAGCGATAGCGCGCCGGTGCGAGAGCCACCACCTAACCTTCAGCGCTGTTTTTGTGTTTATGTTTGTGTGTTTGTGCACCTCTACCTTCCAGTGCGGAACCCAGAGGGGAAGATCCGGCTGTACTGCAAAGGTGCCGACACCCTGCTGTTCGAGCGACTGCACCCCTGTAACCATGACCTCATGAACGTGACCTCAGACCACCTCAATGTGAGTCACTCTCGCTGCCTGCTACTCTTCCAGCTGCCTGTGTTTACTCTGCTGTAACAGAGAGGTGCTCACAATGCTTGTTTGGCTCCTTCACCGCCTCAGTGTCCATTCTCTCCTTGACACATTGTGGAATATTTTGAAATACTGTCACCGGTGTATATGAGGCAGCTGCGCCCCCTGGTGGTCAAGCGACAAAAATTCAGGCATGCGTCGCAGCGTATGCGCCGCGACCTGACCGCTTTACAGAGCTGGCTGAAGGGTCCCATCTGATAAATGTGTGAACAGTCTGCCACCTGTCTTTGATTCATCGTGTCGCGGTCACTCCTGGCAGATCTCTGTATAGGCTGCTTTGCGCTTCTTTCACCGAGTCATCGAACTCAGTATTTATTCATTATTTTTATGCAAGATTCGCTACATAAGAATTCATAATTATTTAATATAAACGACTCAAGCTGAGAATATGGTGAATTATTTAATCACTCTACCACCTAAATCCAGGATATGTGCTTAGAAAACATAAGTCTGTGTTCAGTCAAGTAATAAACATAAAATAAAATACTGTCTTCTCTGTTAGAATCACAGATATTGGCATTTTATTTTTTATTCATGCAGTAACACCCACAATATACCTCTTTTAGTACCTTCAGCTATTAACTCAGCAGATTATGGTTTTTAACGGCCTAGTGAAGCCTCGTGCGTAGCCCTGCTCACTGAGGACGGCTCGTGCACGAGGCAGCCGTCCCGGCGCTGTCCCGGCCCAGCATTCCTCAGTTCTGCCAGCAGGCCGCCTGGTGTGCTGCTCGGTTGCCATGGTGATGTCAAACACTCTCTCTCTGGCCTGATGTCACCCCTGTGCAGGAGTACGCCGCCGACGGGCTGAGGACTCTGGTTTTGGCCTACAGGGACCTGTCGGAGCAGCAGTGGGAGGACTGGGCCGAGAGGCGCCGCAGCGCCGAGAGAGCCGCAGACTACAGGGAGGACCGGCTGGCGGCGGCGTACGAGGAGATCGAGCAGGACATGATGGTACGGAGACGCCCAGCCGCTACTCCCGCCATCGCTGCTTACGCTGTCACCATCCACGCTGGTCTATGGCAGCGTGACTGTCCGACTGTGGCTGTGTGTGTGTGTGTGTGTGTGTGTGTGAGCGGGTTTACCTATCCTTATGGGGACATGTCCCCATAACGTGATAAAAATCCGTTTTTTTTCCCTTATGGGGACCGGTTTCCTGGTCCCCATAAGGGAAAACTCTATTTTATAAAAGTCGGTGACTGCTATGAAAAAACTAAAAATGCAAAATCTCTTGTATTTTGTTAGGTGACTTATGGTTATGGTTAGGGCAGGGTAGGGGTTAAGGTTGTCATTGTTAGCGTTAGCATTTTTCCCATTGAAATGAATGAGCGGTCCCCATAAGGATATGTTTACCCTACATGCATGTGTGTGTGTGTGTGTGTGTCTCACTCTGCATCTTCCTGCTCCGCAGCTGCTGGGAGCCACAGCCATAGAAGACAAGCTGCAGGAGGGGGTGCCGGAGACCATCGCCATCTTGTCTCTCGCCAACATCAAGATCTGGGTCCTGACTGGAGATAAGCAAGGTGAGACAGATTTGATATTATATTATATTAATGGTGGCATAGTGGCACGCTGTTACCTCGTACCTCTGGGACCAGGGCTTGAGTCTCCGCCAGGGTTCCACGTGTGTGCAGTTTGCATGTTCTCCTCGTGTCATCATGGGGTTTCCTCCAGGTTCTCCGGTTTTCCCCCTCAATCCAAAAACATGCTGAAGTTACTTGAGTTTCCATGTCCCCCATAGGGGTGAATATGTTTGTGTATGGAGTATAGCTGAATGGTGTGTCAGTGTGCTCTGTGATGGGTTGGCACCCCATCCTGGGTTGTTCCTTGCCTCATGCCTTTAGCTTCTGAGATCCAGACCCCCACGACCCTGCACAGGTCAAGCTGATACAGGAAATGGATGGTATATTATATTATATGTAGCAGGAAGGGAGCAGACGTAAATTGTAACTCACTATAAATATACAATATTGGTATAGATTATCCAGCATGTATAACACTGTATGTGTATGTTGTACAGTGACTGCTGTAGACATTACAGACTGGGGCAGAACACGTCTTTAATTTGCTTAGAAAATAAGTGGTGTTTATTGATACGGATGGAGACTTTCAGGATAAGAACCTCTGACTTCTCCATTAGCCGCAGGAATGATTTTTCACGCCTGTCGGTCCCACAGAGACGGCGGTGAACATCGGCTATTCCTGCAAGATGCTGACGGACGACATGAGCGAGGTGTTCATCATCAACGGGCACACAGTGCAAAGAGTGCGCGAGGAGCTGAGGTGAGGGCCGAGGCTCACTTAATTTAGTGCTGTGCCAAATTTGGACAGCAGGTGGCGCTGTGAGCGCAAAATTAGATTTTTTTATTTTTATTTTTTCCAAATCTGAGAAAGACTGAATTATTTTAGTGACAGGCTCAAACTGCTGATTTTCAAAAGAAATTAAAAAAGCTATCAATGGGATGTCAATGGGGTTGCACTGTAATCTCACATTTACAGGCAGGGTATACCTAGAACAAGGGCCCCTTCGGCACCCCTGCTTACAGAATCGCGATTGACGCTGTGCCCAAACAGATAAACAGCTACTGAATATAGTCGAGTCCAGAATATTAGCCGTCATTTATATCACGTGGTTTTAGTTACTTTACGGTTGGCTTTGTTTCGCACATCAGACTGAGCCGACTGAGCCCATCGCTATACTTCCTGATTGTGATTCCACAGCCTCTGCTTCTGCACACTGAGACCAGTCGGACTTTCAGTAGCTCTTATGGAACTGCGTCCAATCAGGTTAAGGAAAAGGTTTGACTTTAACTGAGTACAGGGTCAGTCACATGACACATTTGCTTGACATTTCAAGCAGGACAGAAAAGGAAACAAAACATTGTCAGATGAGTCATATATGCATAACGGAAAAAAATACACAAGAACGTTCTCATGCCCATTTGCGCAGATATTTAGTATATTTGAAAATATGTATAAATTGACTCCATTTGCCTTTTCAGCAAAATCAGTAAAAAATATTACAAGATGCAGATCACATTCAAGCAGGTGGGATCCCATACATTTAGTTGAATCAGTTAAAATCTAATAATAGGGTACATAGGGGAGTTTGAGTGTTTTAAGCTGTCACATGTGCCTTCATCCCTGCATTGGATAAAAATGTACAGCTAGCCTTATTTAGGTCATAGCTCACTTTCTCATAAACAATATTTCCCGTGGACTAAGTATTAGTAGGACTAACCCTTTTTCTTTGGTGAATTGAAAAACAAACATAAGTTATTGTTGTTTTTTTATCATTGTAATAAATTATGGTTAAGTTATGTTAAATTTCCCATTTTGCTGTTAAAAATAATTTGGAAAAGACCAAATTGCTGTTTGTCATGCCCCGTCGTGTCTGCATCTGGCCAGCAGGTGTCACTGCTGTGCCCATTTGTTGCCGTCTATCCCAGCTCTTGCTGCATGTTATTTTTTCGACCTCCTGCTCCTTGTTCCCCTTGTTAGCAGTGTTTATATGTGCCCCCCCGTCCTGCGTTCCCCACTCTTGTTCTGTGTCCCTGAGCTGAACTCCCCGTACGTTCATGTCCGCACCTCTGCCCCCTCTATGCCGGCCCTCTATCTGGGCCTCTCTATCAGGCTTGCCTTTACGGACATGACGGTGTTTATGTTTATGTACAATATTATATATAAATATGATATTGGTAGATTTTAGAACCACCTGAGATGATTTGTGGTATTGTCTGTATAGAGGATATTTACTAGGGCATTACTAATGTTTTTTTTTAACAAATTTGGAATGTTTTGTGACCTTTTTTTGTAACTGGGAAAAAAAACAATCAGTGTTGGCTAACTCAGTCCATCTTCAGCTAAGTTAAACATTTTGGGTGTTCTCCTTTTGGGCAGTTTTGAAATAATACATCCGGTGACAGTGAAACGAAAACTTAACATGTAACACATGAAATTTTCATGGTTACATTTTAAAATATCTTCGGACTGACTCTGGAAAGGGTATTTCACCCATTTTCATGTTGTATTATTATAGTATTAATACCCTGTCATTTTGGAAAATTTGAAACAAGTCGAGAATTATCTTGAGAAAATATAGAAATATGTTAAATAATTTTCCCTTTACGAGGTCCTTCGGCAGAAAATGTGCATTTCAGGGATCCTTAAAGGTATGATTAGATATTATGCAGAAGACATTAGGGTCTTAATGTGATTCCTGCTCGTTCCAGGCGTGCGAGAGAGCGGATGATCGAGTCGGCACGCTCCAGGGAAGGGGGCAAGGAGGGAGTGATGGATTGGGCAGCCTGCTCCTTGGAGAATGGTTTCGGGGGGCAAAGCGGAGAGCAGGGAGGCTGGCACCCGCAGCAGGAGGAGAAGCCGCAGCAAGGCAGCCCCCCCGCTCCAGCCTTGCCCAGCCTGCTGGACTCCATCTCAGGAGAGTACGCCCTGGTCATCAGCGGGCACAGCCTGGTGAGAGGCGGCGAGGGGCGGTGGGGGGCTCGCTATGTCCTGCGGGGGGCGGTAGTGAAAGTCTGGAGAATGGGGCCGTATCCCTGGTGACACACTTTGAAAATGAAGCGATGCTTTTCTTTCAGAAGTGCAGGTGCATATCCCATCTTAAGACATGCACACACATACAGTGAAGTTAGGGGTTGGCATGCAGGGATAGGTCATTCACCCCGGGAGGACCTTGCTGAAGGTCCCTACAGGCACTGTGCCACATGCCACCCCACTGAGGGTCTCTATATCGTGGGGGTTCCTTCACCTGTCTGCATGGAGAACTGAAGGGGTGTGGAGGTGGAGAGAGGAGGGTGACACTAGTCACCCTGGAGGAGATACGGATGTCCTTCACAACCCATTATAGATGTCGTGACCCTTAAAAATGGGTGGTTCTTGGATTTTTTTAAGGTGGGAGGCAAAAGAGGGGGTATATTTTATACAGAGGGGCCAACTGAATTCGATGTTTTGAATCTATGAGTGACAGGGGAGGTAGCACTCTATGAACCAATCGGCTTTCAGCTGTGGTCAGAGCCCCTATGGCCCCACCCCTGTATATGAATCTGATGGTAGGCCCAGGAGTGTGAGGACACTTAAAAGTATGATTGGAGGGGGCCTTATATTTTGTCCATGTTTGGCCTTCATAGGCCCACGCGCTGGAGGCGGACATGGAGCGTGAGTTCCTGGACACGGCCTGCGCCTGCAAAGCGGTCATCTGCTGCCGGGTCACGCCCCTGCAGAAGGCCCTGGTCGTGGAGCTGGTCAAGAAGCACAAGAAGGCCGTCACCCTGGCCATCGGGGACGGAGCCAATGACGTCAGCATGATCAAGAGTGAGCACCAATCACGTCGCACGGTTTCTGGGAGCCGAAACCTGAGGGCGCTTCAGAAGATGGGGCTTGGTCATGGGTTACAGGGACCCTGTGATGCTGAATGTCTGGCCTTAGGCTAACCGAGGGAGTCTGAGGCAGACAGCGTGCAAATATTAGCACCAGAGTTGATTACATGCATGGTGCAGCTACGTAGCCACATGTGTTTGAGTCCCTCTCAGAATTTGAGAGACTCATTTCTAGCTACAGGCCCAACGAAGATTGAACTTCGCTGAACTGAGACCACTAAACCGCGGTGTGATACTACTGTAACATGGAATGTCCCTGTAAATGTGGAAGTTCATGAACACACGGGAGTGAACTTGAAAGACGAGTGTAAATAAAACCTGAACAAAAGCACCGTCCTCCAGCATGACCAGTCTCCAGCTGGTCATGCTTAATTTAGTCAGATTTTTAAATATTTCAGAGCTTTTTCAAACACAGAGGATCAACAGGAACATATAAACTCAATCAAACTATATGTCACCATCGCCTTGTCTTAACTGTGTATCTGCTGTATTAATTATCAGTCCTGGACTCTGGAGGTCCCTGCGATAAATTTAGCTGAGCTGGAGATGATGAACCTTGCTGAGTGAGGTGGAGGAGTTCCCCCCCCCCCATCGGCCCAGCAGAAAAAATCCCAGATCCAGCCCCGAGGGGTGAACATACTTGGCCAGATAAGCAATGATTAATTGACCCTTCTGACATTAAGATTTGGCTCCGTTGGTGACACAGTGGCTGGCTACCTCCAGCACTGTACGGTAGTTTCCTTCTAAAGTGCAAAGATGTGCCTTAAACAGGGGTCTCTAAATTGTTCTTAGTGTGTGTCAGTGGCCGACCTGTGACAGACTGGCATCTCATCTAAGGGAATTTTATGCATTTATACACAATTGTGGTTACTAGCATGTTATAGAACTGATTTTAGTGACATTTAAAATGCAACTTTTCAAAAAGTATTGTATTCCTGTATCATCATTTAATTTGCCCCAATTATTAATTATTACTATTACTTTCTTTGTTTTTATAATTCCACAACTCGATAATTTATTGTTATTTATGGTCCAGTACGAATAACTATGTATTGCACTGTACTCTGTTTCTTGAAAAAAGTCCCTTATTGGTCAAAACATGGGGACCCTGATTTTAAAATGACCCCCCACTTTTTGGCAACTATTTTTAGAAAAAATGCTTTTGGAATACAAAATCTTACCTTTTATAAAGAAAAATATATTTATTTGACAAGAACATATCATAAGTTAACCAGCAACCACAGCTTAAACAAGCAACCACAGGCTGGGATTATAATAAGTGTATTAAACAGGAAACATTCCAAAAAACAAATGAATTCTTTGGGGGGGCAGGGGTGAATAATAGGACAACCTTTGAGGGCGCAGAATGTTTTCGATGCAGCAGACTCACATGAACTCTGAAAAAAACATATTGGTTTATATATACTCAGCAAAAAAAGAAACGTCCCTTTTTCAGGACTGTNAAACTGCTCATTATATTTTTTCAGAACGAAATTATGTCTTACTATACCACAGAAATTATTTATTTACTTATGGGGAATACCATTTACTGAATGTTTACTTTACAAAAATCAGCTCAAAACTGGCAAATAACAGTATGCGGAAAAGTATAGAAAGTATAAACGTGCTTTACTTAATCATTGATATTAGCTCTGAGGCTCAGGTATTTCTGCTGTAGTTTAGTGGTGAAAGAGACGCTTCACCTTCTTTCCTTCAACAATCTCCGGAATAGAGGTTTTGTGAAAAAAACCCGTTATGGAAGATCGTGGCCACTTCTCCAACTTGTGCCGGAATCCAGTCCCGTAGTCTTCCATCACTGTAGACAATTAGCCCAAAACAATTATATTTAACTTAAAATTTAATTTACAATTCCATAAATCTGTGAAATGCAAAACATTAAAAACGAAATATATTTCTTTATTTTTAATTATTAGGTAATTGTAAACGAATAAGCAAATTTAGATATAAATATGTGAAGTATATCATATAAAATTTTACCTTCAATTCGCACACGAGAAACCAGCAGACTCAATACAAAGCCGCAAGTCCACCTTGATAGCTCGCAGAGCACGCAAGTTTTTAATTTGAAAAATGCTCTGTTATAACCATGACAACGAAAGTACTTCCGGTTCATTATTCTTGCTTATTCTTGCTAGCTTCACGGTACTCTGCTTGCTAAACTGCCGGACATGACAGGTAACTAAAAAAAAAAGCGAGTAATGAACCGGAAGTACTTCCGTTGTTCCGGTGTTCTGACGAGTTGAGCTATTTTGTCAAGTTAGGCTACTGTAGTGTTAATCGATAGCCCTAACCCTTACCCCAGGGGTGGCCAATCTTTTCCGCAAAGGGCCGCTGTGTATGCGGGTTTTTGCTGCAGCTCCCTAATTATATTACTAATTAGAGGACTGATTGGCTGAGGAGTCCTCACACCTGGGTTTGAACAGCTGACCTAAAGGTAGGTATGTTACAATCTCCCGATTCCCGCTGCGCCGCTCTTCCGCGCAGGTGTGTTTATGTCATCACGAGTTTGGTGGATGCGGGGAATAGCATAGCCGCGGAAACAGTTGAACGGTGGGTTTATCTTTAAAGTTCCAGGAGCACACGCTTATAGATGACATAGTTCACATTTTTCGTCACAACCTCGTTTTCGAATTTCTGTTTTTGACCGGTCAGAAGTGTTTCGTTTTCCCGTTG